CACGAGCAAACGGCCACAAAGTCAGTTCACATGCAGAGTTATATAAAAGAGAACAAACAGTACAGTGATCATACCCTAGCAAGTGTAAGCATGCAAGTATATATATATCTCACAGCACAAGCAATTTTTTTTTTTTTTTTTTTTTGGGCTTTAAAACCGGGGTACACATTCAGCTGAATGTGCATCAAAGGTTATCCCTTGACTGAGTGGGTTACGAGGTGTGCTTTCAACCCCTTCAAGTCGAAATTCGTTTCCCCCCTCCCCCGCAATTTCGTTTCCCCACGCCCCCGCAATTTCATTTCCCCCTCCCCGTCGAAATTCGTTTCCCCCCTCCCCCGCAATTTTGTTTCCCCCCTCCCCCGCGATTTCGTTTCCCCCCCCCTCCCGCCAATCTGTTTCATCCCTCCCGCCATTCGGTTTCACCCACTCCCGCCATTTCACCCCCTCCCGCCACCTACGAAATGCCCGAAGCTCTAGCGGAATCATTTTTTTGTCGCCCCTCGTGAGCCAATCACTGTTTTTCTCCAAACCCCCTTCCCAACATCTCAAGCCGAACCGCGTTGAATGTGCACCCTGGTTTTAAGGAGATCCCCGGAGGAAACCAACCCCCCGTAGGGAGAAGGCGCTTCGGTAAGCAGCATTATACCGGCTGTGCATTTAGTTGCTAAAACCCCCATCGATCACCAGAAGCGCGTGCCCCATTTCGGGGACAGCCGTACCCGGATGGGCGTTGGCTTCAGTGAGCAAGTGAGGCAAAGTAGGCACAAGGCCTAAAACAGTACAGAAACGCTGATGATCACCAGATTGAAGTGCCTTGGTGAATATATCAGCAGTGTTTGCCCAATTGGCCACGTACGCAAGACGAAGCTGACCACGCTGCTGCAACTCTCGAGCAAGGAAGTACCGCAGAGCGATATGCTTCGTTCTGTGCTCCAGTCTGTGCTCCTGACACAAGGCAATCATGGCCTAAGAGAACGGCGGCAGTGAAGTGTCGGTGCGTAGAAACAGCGACGGGTCAGCACTCGAAGGAGCAAACCCAAGAGCCGCAAGCGTCGTCCTCTGTGTGTCGTGCCACTCGAGAGGTGCCTGGCGGAGACCGTAGACTGGCCGCTGCAGGCTCCACTGGGTACCTGTAGGAAATGACACAGTGAAGCTAGGTGGGCGGCGCAGCCAGATCTCCTCGTGCAGGCTGCCCTGTAGGAAAGTTGTGTTGAATTCAAGAGAGTGCAGCTAGTAGTCACGCTGAGCGGCAACGTGCAGCAGAACACGAAGAGTGGTCATCTTCGGGGTAGGGGAGAAGGTCTCGAAGAAATCAACTCTCTGTCGTTGACTAAGGCCTCGTGCAACGTAACAAGCCTTGAAGACAGGCGGAGAACCCGGCGGCCACTTCACCCTGAAAATCCACATGCCATTGACTATGTTCGCCCCAGAAGGGGGAACTGCGTCGACATAGGTGCCTGTGGACTTCCAGATGCCATCTCGGCGTCCATGGCAGTCTGCCACTGAGAGGAGTAGGGACCCGTAATCGCCTCTGCGTAAGAGCGCGGGGTCGGGATGTCTGGTGCATCCGGGTCTCCCTCAGGTGCAAGCAGCATGGCCACGAGATGAGGTACAGCAGCTCCAAGACACTCAAAGTCTTCCTGCCTGTCCTCAAGGACGTCCGTGCCAAGAGCACACTCACCCTCGACGGACAAAGGTCAGTCAGACTCAGACTCAGCAACAAGACTAGTGGCGTAGTTGAGACGACAGGCGGCAGCAAAGTCAACAAGCTCAGCAACTAGGGCAAACGCAGCAGTGGACCCAAACGAAGGGTCAGTGACAATAGTGGCTAGAAGACGAGGGACAGTAGGACTGGCGGCACGAGCTAAGTCAGACTCAGGGTTAGGAACGGCAGGAAGAGAGGACGCAGGAGAAGGCTGCAGGGGAACTCGCAGTGGAACAGAGGAAGGACGAAGTGCCATAATGTGAGTGCCGGGGACGGGAGGAGGATGCGGACGAGGAACACGATGACCAGAGCAAACAGCGCGAACAGGCAAGGCATGACGAGACTCAGGCTCATGACGCTCTGTAAAAGAGTCTGTCTGCTCAGTGTAAGGAGAAGGAGCAGGCAGTGGGGAGTCTGGTTGTAACTGTGGCTGCGACTGGTGAGGTGGTGGACTCAGTGAGTTAGGAGGAAGGCCAGTAGAAGTCGGGAGACTAAGAACCTGGCGAAGGACCGAGACAGGTGGTAGCAGAGAGGACGATGGCGGCGGAACGAAAAACGGTCGTCGCTGCACAGTGCCTCCAGCACCAGTACCGCCAGCTCCAGCACCCCCAGCGCCATCACCTCCAGCTCCAGGGTCTCCAACTCCAGTGCCTCCAGCTCCAGGGTCTCCAGCTCCAGCTCCTCCAGCGCAAGTGTCTCCAGCTCCACAGTCTCCAGCTCCAGTGCCTCCAGCTCCATCGCCTCCAGCGTTAGTGCCTCCAGCTCCAGCGCCTCCAGCGCCAGGGTCTCCAGCTCCAGCTCCTCCAGCTCCAGTGCCTCCAGCGCCAGTGCCTCGAGCTCTAGGGTCTCCAGCTCCAGGGTCTCCAGCTCTAGTGCCTCCAACACCACCAGCTCCGGCAGCTCCAGTACCTCCAGTACGAGCACCTCCAGGACCAGCAGCTCTAGCACCTCCAAGACGAACAGCTCCAGCACCTCCAGCTCCAGTGCCTCCAGCGGTAGAGCCTCCAACTCCTACAGCTCCACTCCGAAGGCGTGTGCGCAGAGAAAACCACTCTCGCAGCTGCTGCGGTGAGAGAGGCTCCCGCCAAGGAGACAGTCGTGGCGAGGCACCCGCAGGACCTCGAGCAGACGCAGTATCCCTAGGCTCAGCACCCCCAGACTCCGCACCTGCTGACTTAGCACCCCCAGGCTCCACACCCTCAGGCTCAGTATCCCCAGGCTCCGCACCCCCAGGCTCAGCACTTCCAGACTCCGCACCCTCAAACTCAGCACCCCCAGGCTCCACACCCTCAGGCTCAGCACCCCCACGCTCCGCACTCACAGGCTCAGCACCCCCAGACGCAGCACCTCTAGTAGCACCTGACTCTACACAGTCCCGGGGAGTGGGTCTACCTGAGACACACGTGACGGAGCAGGACCATGAGGGGGGAGGGGGTCTACCAGAGGGGGACCTGGAGTATGAAAGAGCGGCGGGGGCTGGTGAGGGGAAGAGCAGTATGGGAAGAGACGGTAAAAGGGAACCGACTCGTCAAACGTGACGTCCTGAGAGGGGAGGACACGGCGCGAGGTGGGGTGGTAAAACTACCAGCCAGGCGCGTCCGGGGGAAAGCCAAGGAAGACGCAAGGAATAGCACGGGAGGAGAGCTTGTCCGCGGACGTATCGCAAACAAATGCACGAGAGCCCCAGACCCGGAACACCGACACATCGCCAACCTTCCCCGTCCAACGCAGTGTAGGCGAGGTCTCTGGCAAGGAGACACGGGGCCAGAGGTTGAGCTGATACGCAGCGTACCGGACCGCAAACGGCCACAGAAAATGGGGAGCCGCCGCATGGATCATGGAGGTACGAGCCAGCTCCATGACTAAGCCAATGCGGCGCTCAGCAATCCCATTTTGCTGCGGGGAGGCCGGAAGCTTGAACTACTGGAGGATGCCCTCCCCACGACAAAAGTCTCGCAAGAGGTCGGAGGAGAACTCACCACCTCTGTCAGAGTACAGACGCAGGACAGGAAGGTCCTGGCGGAACCGCTCGCGGAGCTGGAGACGGATTGCACGGATCCAAGGGATCAAGACATCAGGGACCTCACCCTTGCTGCGCAAGGGGAAGACTGTGATGTAACGCGTGGTCGTCAACAACCAGCAGAAAGTAGCGCTCGCGGCCCTGTCCACTGACGCGGGCTGGGCCCCGATCACCAGTGGACCTCTGACACCCCCCCCCCGCACTGGGATGCCCAAAGCGCACACACTGGTATTTGAACTCGAGACCTTCGCTCTGATACCATGTCAGAATCCCAACCATTGGACCATTGGGATAAAAGGGCTTGTTTGTGTAGCGGGTTTGTGCGCCCATAACCCCCTAGGCAAACGCGCCTGTAACCCCCCTATGATCAATCGGGTATCCACAGTGCCGATCTACTGACACCCCCCCGCACTGGGAGGCACAGGACTGAGCACAGCAGCAACGGCCTACATGTGCATACACCGGGATTCAAACCCGAGACCGGTCTGATACCATGTCAGAATCTAGAACGAGAATGAATGAACTATGAATGAATTGGGTACAAGTTCTAACCCTAATTGGGTTGTATCCCTTATAGGCTACCCCACTACAGCTTACACAATATAAGCATTATGACATTTTGACACTCATGTGCATGCATAACGATTATTATTTTTGTTGGAGCGCGGAAGTCGTGGGTTCAATACTTGAAAGGACACCCAAAGTTGGAAATATATGTACACCGACTGTCCATAGTATTTTTTTTTTCAGAAGTTAAGTTTTCTCTGACAAATCAGAGTAACGCTCATGATCAACCCTGATTTTCAGAGTTCCCAAAAAAAACAACTCTGAAAATCACACACACTTGAACCTGGGACTTTTCCGGTAACAGGGCTAAACCTGACGTGGCCAAAAGTTCAAATTACTTTTCTACACTGATTATTCAGATAGCCATGAAAATTTACCCTGACAAAATCAGCATAAACTTAACCCCCAACCCTGATTCGGTCACAACTTTGGGAAGGGCACGCTGATCCATCAACATGCCCTGAAACCAATCTAAGGGCCTGTTTGAGAGCTACTCTAAATCCATCTTACACAGAAATAATTGCATAAAATTATTTCCAACATACAATATACAGGAGGATACCCTAAGCCCAAGAAACTGAATCCACAAGAGATGCAACACCTAGCTCTTTCTAGGCTGAGCAATCTACTAAGAAAGCTGAAAACTTACACCTATCATCCTATCCTAACAATCTAACATAATGAAAGCATACATTAACCCCTTTGCCCTCACTTGGTGAGGAGGAGCGGCCGCATCATGTCGTTCTCCTCGTGCTCCAGCATGTGGCAATGCCACACATAGCCCGGCCCACGGCTCGCGTCAAACTCGAAAGTCTTCACCCCCGACTGCTGGTAGAACGGAGTGTAAATCGTGAGCACCTGGCCGGGCTGCGACATGGTCGTGTCCTTCCACCCACGCTCATTTGCGTTCACCTCAACAGCGGGGCCAGTGTAGCAGCTGGGCTTGGTCTTGTCCTTGAACGAGCAGTTGCCCGCCTGGAACTTGGCGATGTCAAAGGGGCGGCGCGAGATGGGGCGGTGCTGGATGAGGTGCAGGTGCATGGCGTGCGCGTCCGCGCTGAGGTTGATGATGTTCCACAGCTCCGCCGTGCCCTCCTTGGCGATCTCGGTGGCGGGGTCGTGGTGCATCTTGCCGTCGATGGTCACGCGGATGGGCAGCTGCGTCGCGGGGTCCATGATCTCCACCAGCGTGTTGAACCGCGACCGCACCGCGCTAGCAACATCCACCCGAGGAATGCTCTGCTCCGTCTCGGCGGGGTGTGGGGAAGGGTTAAAAAAAGGAATGAACCAAGGGACGAGAAAACCAGCAAGGAGCAAGGAGCAAGAAAATAGTGACAGGCGAGAGGGTCTGTTTCAAAGAGCAAAGACGTACGACGAGGGTGGTAGTGACAGGCGGGGAGGGGATTGGAGACGTACGACGAGGGAGCTAGGGATGGGCGGGGAGGGTATCTTGGTCTTCTTCAGCACGAAGCGCATGATGACGCCCGTGTTGGCATCGGCGGGCTCGCCAGCAGGGTAGGGGGCGCGCGCGTCGTTGGTGAGAATGACGTCCTTGCAGTGCCCGGGCGCGCCGTTGAAGTCCACCAGAATGTCCATCCGCTCGCCCGGCATCACCAGCAGCGACGACATCCGCACCGGCGCCGCCAGGTACCCGCCATCCGAACCGATCTGAACCGCCGAAACAGATGGAAAAACAAGTGATGAGATGGGAAAACGCAAAAAAATAAAGGATGTACCGGCATGTACACTATTAGAACAGGAATTTCAGACGACCTAGTGGACAGCGCTTCATACAAGCAGCGGTTTACCTGGATAATCTCGAGGCTGGGGCCCTTGAGCGGGGGCGTGAAGTTGGGGTAGTCTCCGCGTCCCGCGCACGTGAACTTGAGGTTGTAGAAGCGCGCGTTCGACCCGCCCAGCACGCGGAAGCGGTAAAGCGCACGCCGGACCTTGAGGTACGGCCACACGACGCCGTTCACCAGAATGTGGTTACCAAAGTACTCGGGAACCCAGTTCGGGTGCACCTTCGGCACGATCCCCACGTTCGGGTAGTCGATCGACCCGTTGGCGAAAAACGAGCGGTCGGCGAGAACGAGAGGCACGTAGCGGCCGCTGCCGGGCTGCGGGAGGAACTGGAGGTTCTTCTCCTCGCCCTTGGGATCCACGATGATGTACGCGCCTGCCAGCCCCGCCACCGTGTTGAGGCGCGTCCACCCGAGCGCGTGGTCGTGGAACCAAATGAGCGACGCGCTCTGCATGTTGCCGTAGCGGTAGAGGCGCGACTTGAAGGTGGGGCCAACCTAGCCGAACTGCGTGAACCACGCGTCGGGGTGCCCGTCGAAATCGCTCATCTGCTCGCCTCCGTGCCTGTGCACCACTGCGGAGGGGAAATGCCGACGCAAAATGGTACTAAGACAATGCGTGAGTAACGGCTAGCTCCGCGCGGGCGGAAATGGGGAGAAGATTGGTAGCCGTGCAAAGGAAGGCAATTCCTGTTGCGACGCACCGATGGGAATGCCGCCCATCTTGGGCTTGGCCATGCCGGGCATGAGCGTGAAGTCGTTGGTGAACATGTGCTGGCGGTCCAGCAGCTTGTTCTGCCAGTACACCTTGGTGCGCACGCCCTTCTTCGCGATCAGGATGGGCCCTGGATACGACGCCGTCTTCGCGTCCATTCCGTACGCGTACTGCTTTGTCGCGGGCAGGTCGCGGTGAAATTTCTGCGCATTCGAAACCCGGGAAATCAAGAATGAGGGGAAAATTATTTCGTCAGGATCGCAAGGTTTTACCGTAACAGGGTGCTTCACTGTAGAGAATGGCTTTTCCGTGGTATTACTCACGTGGTAGATCTGGTAGGCGCTAATCTGAAGCGTCTTCCCGCTGGCAGCGTCGACGACGGTGGGCGTGAACGAAGTCGCCATGTCGTTGACGAACTTGCAGAGCGGGTACTTGGGGAACCGGTTCTTGCACTTGGGGCCAGCGAGGGGCGCAGCTATTGACACCGCAATCAGCGAGAGCAGGCAGAGGGCGAGCAGCCCCGCCCTCAGGGAGCGCGCTAAGAAAGCCATGGCAGAGCAGGGGAGTGATTGATATCGCGGAAGAAATTTAGATCATTGAAAAAAAAACTGGCGAAGCCGCAAAACTGAAATGCTGTGACGAGCATCCTTGACTTGCCACACCGCTGCATTTGTACTCCTCCCCCCTTCCCATCCGTTCACTTCAGTTCGAATCCATTGGGATGCAGGGAGCGCGCAGCGGGGTCAGTCGCATCGCATCGCATGACCTAGCATATGGGCGACACGGAACGGCAAATGTACAAGGCTGGCTCGCGTGAGTCAGCACGGGGGGTAGGTGAAGTGTCCAGCGTCGCATTCGTCGCTCGATCGTATTAGGCAAGCAAGATCCTATCAGCTCGCGTCGCTTGGATCAGTGAGTCTGTGTAGGGATGTGCGACTGGTATGAAAGACTGTGCACGTGTGCACCGCACGACCGGTACATCAGACCGAGTGACGTGGCAATTTGACTGTGAGGTTTGTGACTTTAGCGGTTTAGCACAGAGTCACACCCGCGATTCGGGCTTTCACAAGTATGCTGAAACGGAACAAAAATACTGTATTATATTATATATATTAGAAAACATTTTTGCATGATTGTAAGGATTTTTTAGCATTCCTTACCGTGCATCTCAACATCGCGTACAAGACCAACCGTTTCTTCGCCCGTCACTGCTAATAGTTTTTCGACGCCTTCGCGCGTCACATTTCCCAAACCACCCACAGCTGGACTGGCCCGAGTCGGCCTACACTTCGGGACTAGCCCGAAACTCGCTGCCAGCATCACACTAGCTAGCTCACACGCACCACTTTACCGTTTACTTGTTTCGCTATAAATGTTTGCTCATGCCTTCGCTCACATTTGCACTCGTTTGCCAACCTTGTGTTGAGATTAGCTAGAAATTTAGGAGCCCTTTGCGTAGAGGAGACGCACCAGCACTGCAGAAAGGCGACCTGCCAACACAGCAGGCCGACGGTGTGCCAACTTGCAGCAGAGCGGTTGTCCAGCGTTGCCCCATAGAAGACAGCATTGCGCGCGCTCGCAGGTGCGCGCAGACGATTGGCTCGACTTGCACCGTTGTGCATCCGTCGGCTGTTGTCTGCGCCTGACAAGCCACATCGACTTCGGGATACCAACCCGAAGTCGCCTTCACCACCGCGACCTCGATGACGTTCGCGTGCCTCCGCAGAACTCGCCGAGCAGGTTACCCGGCCGACCTGGACAACCCCAGGTGCTCTGGTCAACCACCAAGTGCCTTTGGTCGACCACAGCTCTCGTCGAGCTACCCCCTGGTCGACGGACCCCTTCCGTCGACCAAAAATGTCAGCTGTTGTCTCCGAGCTCCCCTCGTCGACCGCTGCTCACTTGTCAGGTGGACGGACTGCTCCGTCGACCTCCCGGTCGAACTGCCCCTCCTAGTCGACAACCCACCCGTCGCCCAGACCAGTCAGTTGCAGCTGTCGAGCTCCCTAGTTGACAGCAACGCCACAGTGGTCCCCTGCAGCTCGACGAAGCCTGTCGAGCAGCTTTCCCATTGTGAACGGTCGGCTGCTACTCCCGTACATCCAACCAAGTCGTCGGCGTTGCCCAAGCGAGGCCAGGGCCAACACTCCATTCCCGTTAACACTCCCCTGCCGCGCTCACGCTTGGGCCTCCAGCCCACACGGCAGTACCCCACGGAGAAAAAACTCGTCCTCGGCGTGCACCCCACTCACAACATGCCGTCACCGCACCAGCCGTGCAGAAGAGCATGACACCTACTGCTGCACATCATCTGGTCGATGTCGGCGACGACGACTTTCGGGTTTAGGGTTTAGGGTTCAGGGTTTGTGGTCGACAGCAACACCACATCGGTCCCCTGCAGCTCGACGAAGCCGACATCTAGGCGTAGCGACTCGCCTTCCTATCGGACGCCATACCAGCCGAGGATACGAGGTGGGAAAGAGGAGTTAAGCCAACCACCCCATCCGACCCGAGGACAGTTCCGCCCAACGCGACGTGGGTCCGGGAAGCGTAAGAAAGGTGGAACGCCCGGAACGAGAGAGAATCGCCGCTGATCATGCCTGGAATGAGGGAGAAATTCACGGCAACTACACGCCAGTGGAATATCAAGAGCCGTGACATGCGACCCAGTCCGAGAGGGCAACAAGATCTGGTAGCAAGCTAGACGGCGATCGGAATACATGGAAAAGATGAGGACGGCCCTCAGCCAGGACGCCGATGGAGAACCGCGGCGCTACCGAAGGTGGAGGTAGCCGACCGGTACACCGTGATTCCGGAGGTGGGCCCATCGTTGAAAAATTATGTGATGTAGCTAGAGAAGGCCCAGTACTGATGGGAGAGGGACGGATTTGACCCGCACGAGTTCTTCCGTAAGATGGTCGTGACGCTTGCAGGAGAAGCGGAGACATTTTACATGACGGTGCGAAGCGAGGTGTTGGAGGAATTGGCACAAGGGCTCATCAAGAACCTGACGGACCACTTCGTTCAAATATTGAAGAGAGAATTCGTCAGGTAAACCAAGGCGCGCCTAGAATAATTCAGGGAGTTCCGGCGGAGAAAGGAAGAGTCACTGCTCGCGTACTTCAACACACTGCAGGAGTTGACCGAAGATCTGGAGAAGCACGACGAGCGGTTGTTGGTGCAGAAGTTCGTGAAGGGGTTGGACGACGAATTGCGACCGGTGGTGTGCACGGCGGTGTACGGGATCGGTGCTGATGTGACCCTAAAAGAAGTGTACGGTGTGGCGAAGCGGACGAAGCACGCGCAGAGGCTGCTGGAGTTAGACGACGGATTGGGGAAACAGAGAGACCGGACATGCTGGGCCGCCGCAGCTATGCCTGAAGGAGAGAAGAGCGCAAGAGAGCGGGTGGACCCGAGGAGATGCCACACGTGCGGGGAACCTGGACATCTGAAGCGAGATTGCCCGAGTGTGCCCACATGCGACCGGTGCAGGAGGAGGGGGCACCGCTCAAATGGCTGTTACCAGGCAAGGGCGGGAGCTGGAGGCCAGTCTAAGGAAGACCTACAGGTGGAGATCAGAAAGCTGCAGGCTCGTTTAGAGCGGATGCCAAAGCCAGGAGGAGGCAGTCAGGCGATGCTCGCCATCGAGGAGATAGCCGAGGACGAGCTGACGGAAGAAGAGCTGGTGCGAGAATACGGTTTCATGGCGCACCCTAGAGAAAGGAGCGACCTAGACCTTAGGCCGAGGTCGGAGCTATCGGAGGCATCGAGCACGAACATCCGCAGGGAGAGGGGGCCTGCACGAAGAGACGGAGCCTCGAGCAGTGAAATGAGGAGACACCCGAACGAGAGGATGGTGTGCCAGGCGTCGGTTTTCATCGCCGAGAAGGGCAGTCTGACAGTGGGAGGACTGCCAGTGGGGCAAGGGATAATTGACACGGGGGCATACCATGTCATCATTGGAAAGGGGCTGGCAAAGCAGCTGAAGTTAGATTTGCCCGAGATGCAAGTAGAGCGCGGCATACTGTTGATGACTGCCGAAGGTGGGGAGCCGAAATGGATGCCTAGTACCAAAAGGCCCGTGGAGATCACCTTATTACCAAGCACTGAGAAGGAGTGTTGCATTCGTCTGAAATGTGGAGTGTCACAGTCAGAAGACTACGACGTGCTCGTGGGGATGGAGCTGCTGTATAAGGTGGGAGCGACAATCTGCACCTGGCAGGAGAAGGTGCTGTATCGGACGCAGTACTGGGACCCAGAGAGCTTGGTGGGGACTCTGCCCATCTGCTTCGTGAAACAGGAGCCAAGGGCAGCGTACCGAGCAAAAGAAGCGGACTTGTCGAAAGAATTAGACGACTGGACGTGGCAGGAATATGCGGAGGAGGGGCAGAAGAGGATCGAGCAGTACGAAGAGGGGAGGAGAGCGACGGATCTAAAGGAGCGCGTGAGTAAGACCTGGTATCTGGACGGGGCCTTGTGCATCTTGGAATTGTATGGGGGCATAGGGACAGGGCTAGCGGCGGCCCTGAAGGCGGGTTGCTTCATGGGGCGATGGATATATGTGGAGAAGGATCCAGTAGTGCGCAAGGTGGCGAGGCACCACGCGCTCAAGCTGCTGGAGGAATATCCGCAGCAGATGCTGATTACAGCCATCTCAACTGAGGAGGAGGTGACCGTCCATGATGTGCGGGATATCACGGAGCAAGAGCTGGAGCAATGGGGGCCGATTGATTTAGTCATGGCAGGGTGGGAGTGCCAAGGGTACTCGAGAGCAGGAGAAGGAAGGGGGATGGACGACCCTAGGGGAGCCTCGTTCCGAGACTTGGAGAGAGTGCTACGCATGATACAGCGGAAGGAGAGGGAGGTCGTATTCATTTTAGAGAACGTGGACATGGCAGATGACAAGCGGGAACCGGTGAAGCAAGCCTTCGCAGAGATTCAAGAAGTACTGGGAAGAGGAGTACCGGCAGATGCGGCACAGTTGGTGTCGAGAGCACATCGGCCACGAAGGTACTAGCAGAATGGAGTGTCCGAAGCGCTCCTGCGACACTCGTTGGCCCAGATGCAGAGGCCACATCCTCGTCTGGTGAAGGACATACTAGGGCCGAACCGAGTTCCACCAGTCACGACCGAAGATCATCCCGCACAGTACCAGTGTAACGTACCAGGAGAGCCCAGGAGAGCGTGGCCCACCTTGGTCTCCTTCGCGGATGCGCGAGGCTTCGTGATGGAGGGTAACCTGCCCGGCCCAGGAATGGTGTATGATTCCCGTACGAGGAAGTGGGAGGCACCGACGGCAGAAGAGAGGGAGTTGGCGATGGGGCACAAGTGGGGAGCGACGGCACACCCCGACGTAACGGAAGCTCAGAGGAGAGCGACGTTGGGAAGAGTGATGGACTTGAACGTGATGACATGGATTCTGGAAACCATCAGCATGCACCTGAAAACGAAGGCAGTACACAGAGAGCTGGAAGGTAGCTTACGCTACCAGGATGAGAGGGAGACTGTATGGAGGAGGCAGCAGTTGGAAAGCATTGAAGCGCATCACACCAAGAGGATGATGGAGGGGTGGTCCTTCATGGCGGTGGAGATGAGCGTGGAGGACAAGAGTGTGGAGAAGGAAGAGAGAGTGACAGAAGGAGGAGGAGAGACGGGGAAGGAAGAAGGAGGATGGGAGATAGGCAATGGACTGGGGGCAGAAGCATCCGCGGCCTTGAGGAGGGTACTAGGAGAGCACCGAGGAACGTTCGTGTTCACTCTGGGAGAACTAGGAAGATGTAAGGTGCAGGAGATGCGAGTCTTGCTCAACAGTGAGACACCCATGTACCATCGTAAGAGGAGGATGAGCCCATGCGACGTAGAGGTGTGCGCAGCCAAGTGCAAGGAACTGCTGGAGGCAGGGCTAATCCAGAGGTCAGAAAGCGAGTACGGAGCGGCGACAATGGTGGCGGCGCGGACGGACATCACGGGAGATGTGTCGGCTAAACGCATGTGCGGAGACTATCGTGGGCTGAATAAAGTGACCGTACCGGACATATATCCAATGCAGTCAGCAGAGGAAATCTTTGACAAATTGCAAGGGGCGAGGGTTTTCTCCACCTTGGACCTGAGGCAAGTTTTTAACCAGATACCCATCAAGGAGGAAGACCGCAAGAAGACTGTTAGAATCCTTGCGTGACTTAGGCTTAGGAGCCATAGCTAGGTTAGAGTGTCGAGAGAGTTTTGGGGACACACCCCCATAGTCAAAGTGGGGTATAATCAGCAGAGCAAGCAGTCATAGAGCAGGTTCACAAGTACAAGCAAAGCTAGAGGCATTCACAAAGGGCAAGTGAGGAGGAGGCTGGACTGTGAGAGGAGAGTAGATAGGAGGCGACGGCTGATGCTGCAGACACACGGGCAACAGGAACGGCGCACACGGTGGCTACCGGAGCAAGAGCCCCGGACTACAGGAGTAAATGGCTCCGCGGCTAACTCTGAGCGGCAGGAGCAACGGACCCACGGGCGACAGGTGCAGCAGGCTCTCAGAGCTACCAGCAGCAGAGCCCCGGACTACAGGTGCTGCGGACGACAAGACGGCAGCCTCCGCTCAACCTCCCCCAACTGTCCCACCCCCCTTTCACACACCCCTTGCTGCACCCCTAGCTCCACTCCCACTTCACCCCCCTAGCACCACTCCCTCGGCTCCCACACACCCACCCCCCTCAACGGCAGCTGCAGCAGTGGGAGACGGAGGAGGAGGAGGAGGAGCAGGGGACGGTTCACACACCCGCCACCCCCATACCCTCCCCCCACTGCTGCACCTGCAGCAGGGGATGGAGGAGAAGGGGGGGGGGGGGGCGGGGGGGGGGGGCTGTGCATGGCGCGTGCAGAGGGCAGCAGGGCAGCAGGGCGCACGGGGCGCACAGGGCTGCAGGGCGCGCGGGGCGCACAGGGCAGCAGGGCAGCAGGGCGCACAGGGCTGCAGGGCAGCAGGGCGCGTGGGGCAAACAGGGCAGCAGGGCGCACAGGGCTGCAGGGCAGCAGGGCGCGCGGGACGCGCAGGGCTGCAGTGCGCGCAGGGCGCGCAGGGCAGCAGGACAGCAGGGCGCGCAGGGCGCGCAGGGCTGCAGGGCGCGCGGGGCGCACAGGGCAGCAGGGCAGCAGGGCGCGCGGGGCGCACAGGGCAGCAGGGCAGCAGGGCGCGCGGGGCGCAGCAGGGCTGCAGGGCACGCGGGGCACGCAGGGCAGCAGCAAGGGCTGTAGCGGCAACAGCAAGGGCTGTAGTGGCAGCAGCAAGGGCTGTAGCGGCAACAGCAAGGGCTGTAGCGGCAGCAGCAAGGGCTGTAGCGGCAACAGCAAGGGCTGTAGCAGCCGCAGCAAGGGCTGTAGCGGCAACAGCAAGGGCTGTAGCGGCAGCAGCAAGGGCTGTAGCAGCAGCAGCAAGGGCTGAAGCGGCAGCAGCAGGGCAGCAGGGCGCACAGGGCTGCAGGGCAGCAGGGCGCACAGGGCTGCAGGGCAGCAGGGCGCGCGGGGCGTGCAGGGCTGCAGTGCACGCAGGGCGCGCAGGGCAGCAGGACAGCAGGGCGCGCAGGGCTGCAGGGCGCGTGGGGCGCACAGGGCAGCAGGGCAGCAGGGCGCACGGGGCGCAGCAGGGCTGCAGGGCGCGCGGGGCGCGCAGGGCAGCAGCAAGGGCTGTAGCGGCAGCAGCAAGGGCTGTAGCAGCAGCAGCAAGGGCTGAAGCGGCAGCAGCAGGGCAGCAGGGCGCGCAGAGCTGCAGGGCGCGCGGGGCGCGCAGGGCTGCAGGGCGCGCAGGGCTGCAGGGCGCGCGGGGCGCACAGGGCAGCAGGGCAGCACAGGGCTGCAGATCCCCTCCCCCCCACCGCTGCACCCGCAGCAGGGGGATGGAGGAGAAGTGAGGGAGGGGCTGGTGCTGCAGATCCCCTCCTGCCTCCCCCTGAACCTCCAAGCTCCCCCCCCTCCCAGCACAAGGTGCGGCAGGGAGAGAGAGAGGAGAAAGGGGGGGGGGGGGCTGATGCTGCAAATCCCCTCCCCCCTACTGCTGCTGCTGATCCCCTCCCCCCCACTGCTGCACCCGCAGCAGGGGGATGGAGGAGAAGTGGGGGGGGGGGCGGGGGGGGGGGGGGGGGGGGGGGGGCTGGTGCTGCAGATCCCCTCCTGCCTCCCCCTGAACCTCCAAGCTCCCCCCCCTCTCCAACACAGGGTGCGGCAGGGAGAGAGAGAGAGGAGAAAGGGGGGGCGGGGGCGGGGGGGGGGGGGGGGGGGGGAGGGGGGGGCTGATGCTGCAAATCCCCTCCCCCCACTGCTGCTGCAGATCCCCTCCCCCCCACTGCTGCACCCGCAGCAGGGGGAGGTAGGAGAAGGGGGGGGGGGGCTGGTGCTGCAGATCCCCTCCCCCCCACTGCTGCTCCACAATCCTGCACCCCCCAGGGGTGGAGGAGAAAGGGGGGGCGGGGGGGGCTGGTGCTGCAGATCCCCTCCTGCCTCCCTCTGAACCTCCAAGCTCTCCCCCCCTCCCAACACAAGGTGCGGCAGGGAGAGAGAGAGGAGGAGGCGTGGCGGCAGCTGCTGCTGCTGAGGCACATCCGCCACCCCCTCACACCCTCTCCCCCCCATCCCCATGGAGGGGGGGGAGGGGGGGGAGGGGGGCGGGGGCGGAGCTGCGCGTGCGACTGCAGGGCACGCGGGCAGGAAGCCATCACCCCTCTTGCCACCCCCTTACCCTCCATAATGCGACGGGGCACCGGGGCTGCAGCTAGAGGCGACAGGTCTCGAGGGGCCGGGCGTTGGGCACGGAACGGGGCCGGGCGCGGGCTAGGTACGGGGCCGGGCGTTGGGTTAGGGACGAGGCCGGGCGCTGGGCAGGTACTGGGCCGGGCGCTGGGCAGGTACGGGGCCGGGTGTTGGGCGTGGAATGGGGCCGGGCGCGGGGCTAGGTACGGGGCCGGGCGCTGGCTAGGTACTGGGCCGGGCGCGGGCTAGGTACGGGGCCGGGCGCTGGCTAGGTACTGGGCCGGGCGCGGGCTAGGTACGAGGCCGGGCGCTGGGCAGGTACGGGGCCGGGCGTTGGGCGCGATACGGGGCCGGGCGCGGGCTAAGTACAGGGCCGGGCGCAGGCTAGGTACAGGGCCGGGCGCTGGGCAGGTACGGGGCCAGGCGCGGGCTAGGTACGGGGCCGGGCGCGGGCTAGGTACGGGGCCGGGCGCTGGGCTAGGGACGAGGCCGAGCGAGAGCTGGTTACGGGGCCGGGCGCGGGCAAGAGACGGGGCCGGGCGTTGGGCGAAGGACGGGGCCAGGCGCGAGCTTGGTACGGGCCGGGCACGGGCTAGGGACGGGCCGGGCGCGGGCTAGGTACGGGGCCAGGCGCGGGCGAGGTACGGGCCGGGCGTTGGGCACGGAACGGAGGCCGGGCGCGAGGCTAGGTACGGGCCGATCGCGGGCTAGGTACGGGGCCAGGCGCGGGCGAGGAACAGGCCGGGCGCGGGGCTAGGAACGGGGCCGAGCGCGGGCTAGGTACGGGCCGATCGCGGGCTAAGTACGGGCCGGGCGCGGGGCGACGGAGTCGACGGGGCCAAGGGGCCGAGCCTAGGGGCTAGGGGCGACGCCAAGGGGCGACGGGCCGGGGCCTAGGCTAGCAGGGCATTAGGTGGTGGGCCCATTAATGTGAGGTCCTAGGAACTATTGCTCTTAATACCATGTTAGAATCCTAGCGTGACTTAGGCTTAGAAGCCATAGCTAGGTTAGAGTGTCGCGAGAGTTTTGGGTGAGGAAAGTCGAGAAGGAGGATGTCGAGGAAAATGGAATGGAATGATTTCACTAGCAAGAGTTGGGATACAAATAGCAAACCCTAAATTGGGTTGTACTCACTACAGAGTACCCCACTGCAGGCTAGACAACAAATACATTCTGACAAAGACGGCGTTCCATGGCCCAGACGGACAGTACGAGTGGAAGGTGATGTCGTTTGGTATGAGGAACGCACCAGCAGTGTTTCAACGAACCATGGATACGGTCCAGAGAAAAATGCCTACTACATAGATGACGTGATAGTCTTGAGTGCCTCAGAGGAGGAACACGTGAAGGACGTCCGGGCTACCTTAGAGGCTATCAAAGTAGCTGGGTTGACATGTCACCCGAAGAAATGCAAGTTCGGGCAACGGTCGGTGCAATACCTGGGCTTCGAAGTGGGAGATGGAAAGCTGGGAGTGCAGGAAGCAAAGGTAGAGGTCTTGGACAGAGTCCCCACCCCCACAGACCGCTCCTCGCTCAGGGCGGTCCTGGGATTCTTGGGATGCTACCGACGGTTCGTGCCAAATTTCAGCAAGACGACAGCAGTGCTGAACATGCTCTTGAGAGAGGAGCAAAACTGGCAATGGGGAGATGAAGAGCAGAGGGCCCTGAACCAGCTGACGCAAGCAGTAAAGAATGCCACTGTATTGGCGCTGCCGAGCAAAGAAGACCCGTTCGTGTTATACACCGACTAGAGCAGCGCAGGAATGGGGGCGATCCTGTGTTAGGAGAGCGGAGGAGAAGAAAGGGTAGTGGCATTTGCAAGCCGCAGCTGTAACCCCGCGGAGGCTAATTACAGCTCGTACGAGGGAGAGGGACTGGCGGCAGTATGGTCAATCACGCATTTCAGGGTATACATGCAAGGAAGGCCATTCACATTGGTGACCGACCATCAACCGCTGACCTGGCTGATGACGAACCAGGCGCTTATAGGAAGGAACGCCAAGTGGGCTATGCGGCTACAGGAGTATGACTTCGTTATCAAGCATAGGCGGGGCAAGAGCATGCAGCATGTAGACGGGCTCTCACACAATACGGCGCTGGAGAGACCCACTTCATGCTTGGTAGCTATGGCACAGGGGATTGACCAAGAGGGAGCAAAGAAGGGCAAGGAAAGAGGACCAGACGATGTATGGGAGGACAGGGAGGTGTTACGATGGGTACAGGGCAAGACAAGGGAAGCAGGAGCAGTGGCCGAGAGGGTGTGGGCTAGAGGGGCGCATTACCGGTGGTACCAGGATCAACTGCAAGTAAACACAAGTGACGGCTGGAAGGTAGTGCCAGAACCTTCACAGAGAGAAGACACCATTGCACGTGTGCATCGGCAACTAGGGAACTATGGGGAACTAAGAACCCAGCAGCTAGTGGGAACCACGTGGTGGTGGGTGGGAATGAGGAGACAAGTGAGAGAATGGGTGAAGGGCTACAAACTCTGCAGCAGAAACAGGGCAGAGCTGGATAGAGGAAGACAGGAGTTGCAATCCCTACCTATCTACGGACTAGGATTCCGCTGGTCCTTAAATTTGGCAGGAGAGATGCCGCTGAGCCGTCAGGGGAAGAGATACATCCTCATCATGATAGAACACGATAGCAAATGGGTGGAGGTGAAGGCACTGCCGAGCAAGAATTCAGCCAGGATAGCACAGGCTTTCGAAGAGCAAGTCTTGACTCGCTTTGGGGCATGCGGGGAGGTCCTGACTGATCAACGAACCGAGTTCCAAGGGCAATTTGACCAACTATTGAGAGAGACAGGCATTACGCACAGGTGGACCTCGAGATATCACCCCCAGAGTGATGGGCTTATGGAGAGGTTCGTGCGAACCCTTAAGAAGGGGATACGGGCGTATGGGGAGCAGTACAAGCGGGACTGGGACCTCAGACTACCATGGGTGACGGCGGGATATAGATTCAGCAAGCAGGCAGCGCTAAGGGACATGTCCCCTTATTACCTCTTGCTCGGTAGGGAGCCCATCCTACCCATTGACGCCCCAAAGCTGCTGACGGACACCGTGGTGGCAGGGTCAGAGGAGAAGTGGGTGGCGGTGGCAGAAGCAAGGGCGAAATACTTGAGGGAGCTGCTGCCGGCAGCACTGGAGAACCTTCACATGGCACAGTTGAGAGACGTCCAGCGGTACAAGCAGAGGGGAACATGGAAGGAAGGAGGTGGGAGCAAGGGTATCCAGCCAGGAAAGGAAGTATACCTGAAGCAGGCCAAACGGGATCTGCTGGATATAGGCCTAACCACAGAACGGTGGAGGGTGAAGGAAGTGAAAGAATCAGGAGTGATCGTGCTAGTGGGAGAGAAGGGAGAGGAACGAAGAGATCACATGAAAAATGTGGCAGTAGCCTGACCCAGGAGAGGAGAAACACGGCAAGGGGAAGGTGGAACACAAGGCCTCTCAGTCGGCCGAGGCAGGGATCCATCGGCTAACCCAGGGGAGAGACGCCGAGGAGGGGGCAAGTGAGGAGATAGATAGATAGATAGATAGATAGAGAGAGAGAGAGAGAGAGAGAGAGAGAGAGAGAGAGAGAGAGAGAGAGAGAGAGAGAGAGCAATAGCACAAGACAAGAAGACAACGAAGGGGCCAAAAAGGAAGAGGTGAAGGGGAGCAGAGTAGCCATTGGTGAGATTTCGACAGCTGTTACGCAATTAAGGCAGCAAAGTAGAATAGAATAGATGAAACCTTGATATAATTGTGTGACAGAGTAGTGTAGAAGGAACCTGTAGCGAGAACATAGCAGATGGCAGGAACCGAACCGAGGGTACCCAGCCTAAGCGGGAAGCATCGAGAATGGCAACGGTAGGAAGCAACGGTAAGCTCTTAGAAAGTACTTTGGAAAGCAGTAGGCCAGAACCCTACTGCTTGCTTGTTTGTTTTCTCAATTAGCTAAGGAAGTCATCCTATCCAAGCCAGAGAAGCCAGTTCAAGCAACCTCAGCCAGCCGAGCTAGCATTTCCCAGCAGTACGCAATCAAGAGATGCTAGTGAGGAGATAGAGAGAGAGAGCAATAGTACAAGACAAGAAGACAACGAAGGGGCCAAAAAGGAAGAGGTGAAGGGGAGCAGAGTAGCCATTGGTGAGATTCCGACAGTCTCCAGCTTCGCGCTCGGTTCCAGCAGTCTCGGCTGCACTCTGACCGAGGTGGTGAATTTTCCTCCTGCCTCCTCGAGGACTTCTGTGGTGCTGAGGGCATCACCCAGTCGTTCACGCTTCCGGCTACTCCACAGTAGAGTAAGATTGCAGAGCACCTGGATTGGTCATGGAGGTTGCTCGCACCTCCATGATCCATGCGGCTGCTCCCCATTTTCCGTGGCCGTTTGCGGTCCGATGCGCCGCGCACCAGCTCAACCTCTGGCCCCATGTCTCCCACTCGGAGACCTCCCCTACTCCGCGGTGGACGGGAGAGGTTGGTGATGTGTCGGAGTTTCGGGTCTGGGGCTCCCTCTCTCAAGTCCGCGATCTGCCCGCGGACAAGCTCTCTCCGCGCACTCTTCGGTGCGTGTTCCTTGGCTTTCCCACCGACGCACTGCCCTGGCAGTTTTACCACCCGGGCTCTTGTCGTGTGCTGTCCTCCCGCGACGTCACTTTTGACGAGTCCGTCTGCTTCTACCGTCTTCACCCCCACC